AAAGAAGAAGCGGCGATGGAAGATGAAGATGAAGATGAAGATTTTCAAAGATGTTTATCAGCCGAAAGGCATAAAAGAACATTTTTGTCTCTTCATTTCTTGATACTGCCTATCAAACATAATCAATACATTATGTCTGTCATATGCATATGCCATGTTTTAGAGGGGGAAGGAATTGTGAAAAAATTTCATCACGCTTTCTTTGACGATTAATAAGAATGGTAGCTCCAATTTTTCGTTCTTCTGGGAATAACGTGTTGCTGAAGTTATTCTGTGCCTCCGTTTCTGTTTTTTATTCAGCCCTGACGCGATCGAGAGGCAGAAAACCAAAACTTTGGCCGTCTGAGTGAAGTTTATAAATTGTTCCTCTTTTCAAACAATATAGCGATTTCAGGTTCGAAAAATGTTTTCCATTCATTCCAGTGCTGTTCACTGCTGATACAACAAACTTTCATTCGTTCGTCATCGAGTGCGCGTAGTCGACATGGGAACGCTGAACCAATCAGAATAATGTCCTCGGACCATCGTGTTGATAAGCTAGCGCCCAAAACCATGGTTCTAGTGGGATGTCCCTTAATACTCTGCCTTCTGTGAGCAAGAAGGAGGTAGAGCGCAATTCAACAGTCATTTTACTTCAGTGTGAGCCAGCGCCTGCTTATGAATCAGAGACCGTCACTGACCCTCACGGAGAGAGCTCATTTGTTGACTGGTTGAACAGTGGCAGCCTTTTCCCAACTACCGGGTGGTTATGACCATCTTTCAGGATTTTATAAAAAATTTATTAGAACCAGAACCTCGCTAGTCGACCGTTTTCGGGTTCACGACAGGCCTTCACAGATACCGTAAAAGTTAAAGGATACAGGCCCCTCTGTACGCACAGCACGTAAAGGTGCCTTTGTACTTCACTCTGCCGAGCAATCATTTAGTTTAATCGTTGTTCACTCCCTGCGACGCGTATGAGAAGATAACTGCTAGCGAGCAACTTTGTTGAGTCGAACAAAAATACGTTTCTTGTTACGAAATCAGAAACACAGTACATCCCTATGCATATAATGTTTTATAAATGAAATGAGAAGAAGTTTCTGTTACCCTGCCAACCGAATGGTGCTACTGACTCCACGATCAACATCAGAATTCAGAAATTCTTCCATGACTTCAACTGCGCGCTGCTGTGACAAACATCTGTAGAGTTATGGGTAGAGTTAAATACCACAGTTAGTTCAATTAACCTTAGCAAGAGTACCAGAAACTCCATGACCATTTTCGCCTCGGCATGCTTTTGAAGCCGCAGCCACTGGATGGTATAAACGGCTGAAAGGATGCCTTCTAAAAGTTGTTCGTCGAAATAAGACAATAAACGGGGCTAATTACCAATCTTCACAAATCAGTGAATAGTGACTGACCCACCTGAAGCTGCATATCCACGTAAAAACAGCAGGAAACCGAAAATGACAATCCAGTCCCAACAAAGAGCTGCGTGGCTACTGGTACTACTCATGCAAAGACTGTCAACTAAAGCGTACGTTAAGACGACCAAGATGGAGCACAGCAAAACTCCTACCGATTCGCTTAAAGCAGACTGCGATATACACACAAACAACGCGCTCTAGGACCAGCACGAAGAAGCAAACGATCGCTCGGATCTGCAAGACATGTGAATGCTGTGGCCAAAGGGAATAAACTGCGAATCGGATTCTGCTCCACCTAGTTCCAAAAACCTCAAAACGCAACAATCATCAACGGCTGTTCGCTAATTTAAACCACTATCACGTTACACTTTGTCCAGCATTTTCAACGGATCTAACAGTTGGTTGGGCGGCACTGACCGAACACCGACTGGCGCTTTGCACGATGCCGGGGGCGTGTACGGTAATGAAAAACAGTGCCCAGGCAATAACGTACTTTACATTGAAAAGCGCCAGCAGATAGACGTCGCCGTGCCTGAAGCACTTAGAATTATTACGTCGCAAAAGCAGATCGAAATCAGCAAAGGCAGAGGGTACGCGGACAGCGCAGTGGTCGAATACCTGGTCATGTGCCACCACCAATCGACGTTGTTATAGCTGAACACAACGAAACTGAGGAACAAAATGTGCAGCGTCAAAAAGATTAGCAGCGTTTTGCAATGACCCGTTTCCTGTTTGAACCCTCTGTAACGCAGGTCGAAACATAGCAGCACCAAGGCGAGTGACCAGACGATGAACTGACTGGCGCACTTGACTAAGTGGTGGCCATGCACGGTGTACGACCGTGACGAAGCGTAAATGGCGAGCTCCACAAACGGACAGACGATCATGAAAACATGAAGCGCCAGCTGCAGTTTGCAAAGTGCTGACAAACTGCGAAGTGAACAACGCGTGGCTGTGACAGCTGAACTGCGACGTGCAAGAATCACGATATTGCGAATGCCAACGGTAGACATGAAGAAAGTCAGCTGCATCGAACAGAAAGTGTCGAAGAAGCAAATGGAGAAGCCGCGGTCCCAGGCATTGTAAAGCGGGTCGCGACTGCTTTCACAGTACTCCATCTGCGCACCTAAAGAGCAAGACAGTCAGTCACATGGTGCCAAATGTTGCAGCAGCATATCGAAAACAGCGTCAAGTGCCATCTGCAGTCCAGTCCGCTAGTATCAATTCAAAAACAATGTAAGGTGCATATCCGGCAAATTCACCGGCATTATTAGGACCGTTTTAAGATATAAATTTTTTAGAATTGTATAAATATTCGCTCGGGAACTTTCGTTCGATGTTTCCTCTTTCACATGTTCCGCATTTTCTGTTTTTAGGCCTCATTCAACTATGCCTAAAGGGTGGGTTGTCATTTATCATAATTAGGCATGGTAACAAAAAAAGGTGCGCATTTTAGGTCAACAAGATATCTATCTGGAAACCCTGAACTGCGCCATCCCTCTAGAATGAAACCTTCCTCTATGTCAGGACCAGCACTGTTTCAGAGAAGAAAGTCGAGAACAGTGATGAACAGCAAATCAATTAACCTGATAAACGGTTAATAGGTAACCATTTAGCAAACACGGTACCTGCAAACATCATTTCTAATATGGAAACGATGCGTTCAAGCGTACCATAGCATTTCAAGATTTTCCCCACTGTCGGAACGATGTAATAAATCAAACGAGACCATAAGTCGAACAAACTGGCAAACCGCGGAAACTGATATCGTCACTGCTCAATGATCATACGAAGAGAAAATTCTATTGGGGCAAAAGTAACCCATCCGAAAGCCTGCTTGATTTGGGCGAAGCGTCCTATGAATTGCTAGCCAGAGCTTTCCATAATATTCCAGAACAATTTCTCAGGAGCTGACAGTGGAACTGTAGTGAACTTAATGGTGAACCAAAACGAAGAATCGCTGTTGCTGAACTTATAGGTATAGATGACCCAGTAGTTAAGTCACAGCTAATTTACATTCCTAGCCAGAAGAAATTTCATTGCATTAGCTGAAACGAGTTATGCTAGTCCAGTACCCGCACAAGCTTAGTATCAAAACATTGGCTATAAAAGACAAAATTCGTATGGTCGATCAGATGACCGATAACCAGTGATGTTTCGCC